TCCCGGAGGTCCTCGGTAAACCAAAGGGCCCTCCTGGATCCACTGCCGCGGATCGGCCATAAAGGCGCAATCCGGTGGAGAGCCTCAGACGCTGCTGAGTTCCAAGCAGCAACTAAGGTCTCCACCGGACTGCGGGCGAGAGTATCAGGCACAACACCAAGCGCCGTCTGGAAACCCTGAGGATCCATAAGATGCCTGGGGTGGAACCACCTAATTGGCTCCTCCTCCTTACAGTGGGGGATTGGTCTCCGAAAGTCGAGCCTCAGTAGGAAGTGGTCCGACCATGACAGGGGCAAGATCTCACTACCCCTCAAACCAAGATCACAGGAGCAGCTTCTTCCCATCTACTCAAATGCCTTCTTACCATATCCATAGATTGGTCTCTGAAACCACCAGTACATACAGGTCCTCTTAACTCTCTAACTCCAAAGCCTTCGTCCTGCAAATTAGAAAAAGAATAACAAAGCCTGGATTAAAGAATTGGCCCAAAGTCATTTCAGTTGTAAAACAGTAATGATTATTTTTCATTCCTTTGGTTCATTATAAAGATAATCTTCTAGTAGTGATTTATATTCCTAAAGGTTGACCTTGTATCATCCATACAGAAGGGGGGGGGGTGTCTCGTGGTTTAAAGCAGGATTTGCAGAAGTACAAATGATCCTTTAGAAGAGGAAGAATTGCCCAGTAATAGCAATAACACTTGGATTTAACCACTTATGGACCTCTCTAAGCGGTTTACAGAGTCAGCATATTGCCCCCAACAATCTGGATCCTCATTTTACTGACCTCAGAAAGATAGAAGGCTGAGTCAACTTTGAGCCAATGAGAATCAAACTGCCAGTCAGCAGAATGTGTCTGGAATACTGCATTCTAACCACTGAGCCACCACTTTAAGAGTACTTCCTCATGACCATGTTAACATGCATTCCTCCCAGAAAAGGAGATAGAAAAGGGACTAAATGAAGAACAAGAAGAAATTACAGAAGAAAAAGAGATTGAAAAAGAAAAAAATACTCAGATGATTGTATTGGGATTTACAGTGACACACCCAAAGGAGACAAGGGGGAAGTGGCCCCCAAAAAGGGAAAATTAAACAGCAAATGTGGGAATAATGGGGAAAGACTGGGGGAAAAACTGGGGAAAGTTACTAAGACAATAGAACTAAAAGGAGAAAAAAGTGGGAAGAAAAAATATAGAAACTACAAAAAGAAAAGCTAGGCGAATGGGTGTAAAGAAGAGAATATAAAACAAATGGAGTTCCTGAGAGACTAAGAGAAAATGGTTGAAAGGAGGAAAGAAGGAAAAGGATTTACTAGTAGAATAAAATAAAATACGGTAATATTGCCAATGGTATATAGCTAATATGATGTGAGGGAAACAGATTAATACTATTAATTGTGGATAATTAACTAAGTGAAATGTTTACTATACAAAATTAAATTTGAGGGTGTATGTTATCGATAGCAAAATAGAATAATAGATGGAAATGAAATGTTAAATGTGATTTACTTGGAAGGGCAAAAAATGATATGGTTTATATATGAAGAAGAAATCAAAGTTAAGTTGGAAAATATGGAAAGAAAATAAGATGGCTAAAATCTAAAATGGAAACATGATGTAAAATGAATTATGCATAAGAGAAGAAGTAAAGGGGGAAAACCCAGACAACACTTCCTTTATAAAAGAAGTTAAAATATGTAAAAAAAAATAACATGCATTTCCTCCTTTCTTGAGTCAGTGGAAAATTAGGTTAGCAAACATCTACTGCCCTGCTCAAACAGCCAAGCTTCACTATGTCTCAGCCACAAAGCTGGACAGTGAAACTTTTCTCAGACACTTGGCAACCAGCTTGTATTTATGATGGTTGCAGGTCAGGTGATCCACTTTTGCAAACTTCTGACAAGCAAAGTCAATGGGGAAGCCAGATTCACTGAACAACCGTGTTACTAACTTAATAATTGTAGTGATTCAATTAGCAGTTATGGCAAGAGAGATTGCAAAATGGGGCAAAACTCATTTAACTGTTTTGCTTAATAATGGACATTTGGGGCTGAATGGCAGTCATAAGACAAGGACCACCTGTATAGCAAAACAAAAAGCAGAAAACCCATAACTGTCAGTCAAGAAAGTGCTCCCACAGAGATTGACAGAGTTTTCTGTTGATTATGCCACTCTGTTTGTGTGGTCTCCCAAATGGAAAATGGATAGTTCTGTGGCAAAAAGAAAATCAGAATGGAGCTTGTAGGCAGGGGTGTATTGATCTCTTGGAAGACGGGCATTTGATCTGAAAGCACCCTCTGGGAAATCAATATATCTGTGTCAAAAGCAAACAATTCAACAAAAAAGGTGTGTAAATCAGAGAGGTGGCTAATCTTTCTCACAGCCAACCCAAAATAGGCTTATGGCTCTTCTGCTACAGGCCTGCAAAGGCCAGTTCTGCAAGCTCCAAATTTTTCTGTTTTCCCTGCTTAACCTCCTTTCGAACTCCAGCTTTTTTGCTAGCTCTTGACAAAGAAAATAAATGACACTGGAAGGAGAGGCATATCTAATATGGGTAATATATGTTGGGCTGATTCTACCCTCCACCTGACTATGCTTCTGTCAGTAAGGAGAGTGAAGCTTTTCGGATTTAATACACCTTGAAACTGTTGCTGCTTTCTGTCAGCTTAAGCAAAAATACTACTACAGTACACCATGTAACTTCATGCACATGAGGACAAGGTGATGGTAAAAATGTTGCCAGCTCCTACAATGGTTAAGTACATGAACCTTAGTCGAGCAGAAGGCACAATTCAGGGAGAAGAAAGAGCCTACCATCAGCTCTTGTACGTACCACTAAGGTCTTGTAAAAGTCCTTCAGGCTCTTCTTCAAGCGATTGATGATTGAGATAGCATTGGGCAATTCTTCCAAACAGGTGGGTCCAGGTCCAATGGGACAGCCATGAGATAAACTCCAGCCAACCGCCATCAATGACATCAGCAATACCAATTTTTGCTGTCCTACAGGATGTGAGCATTGAATCATTAAGATATGCCATTAAAGGTAATTAAAGTACAGAACAACTATGTGTGCTTTTCTGCATGAGTACTGGTCATTAGATGGACTCAGCCAGATTTACTTTCAAATACACAAAGGGTTGTATTTCCACAAAAGAGCCCAACCTCAAAATTAGTCTTCTTCAACTGGCATCTTAGATACATTGGAACTTCAATTTTCGGAGTTTCCATCCATCCCAATGGATATAGAGGCTGTCAGATAAGAGCAGGGTGATGGAGGTAGTCATAATACAATGGAACATAGATTTTCTAGTTGAGGGACAAGGACTCTGCCACAATTTGAAATTACTGTGATTTCCACCATCCCATGACAGAGTTGAGCTGGTTTATCCCTGGCTTAGCATAATGTATTTGAAACCATGGTAAAATTATGATAGTGCTCTCTTTGCAATACTGAGACTTTCTGGTGATAGTAGGTTCATTCACCTATTTTGAGGTACCTCTTCCTCTTTCCATCTCCTGCAACTTCAGCCATTCAAGCACATCTTTCTGAAGAAAGAAAGTTTGATAACTTTGTACTTCCCCTGCCACCCACTTATGAACTGCACAGGTTTTTTTGTATTGGACCATACAAATATATAAAGAATTAGATGTAAAAGTATGTGAGAGGGGATATAATGTATTACATGTTTCTTTGGAGCAAATTAAGAATTGGGGGAAATGTTTCTCCAGGCCCTGCAGCAATTCAATTTAAAACAGTGGGGGTTTTTTTCTTTTTCTTTTTATTCTCAGGAACAGGAACTTAATGGAAGTGAAGATGTTATGATATGGCTTGTCATCAAACTGAGGGATTGAATAGTAAAAAATTGTGACAGTGTGAATGTGCCTGAGTGATTACTGCACGGAAGAATATTCAACAAACTATCTTATCATTTCATTTTAAAAGTTGGATTATAAAAGCTTCTTTTTCCAATATTTGAAGCAAGTAATGAACTGAAGCACTTAAATACTCTTATTTTAGGTGCAAAGATCTTTTTATGTATCCAAAATCCCTCCAGAAGGAAAGGGAGATGCTATAAACCTTAGCTCACTATTTAAAATCCAAGCTTTGATTCATTGTTATTTTTTTGCTTTGTGAGAAATATGTAATGAGTTAAAAAAAAATTCTAATAAAATTAGGATGGAATTATGAAATGTGCATTTGGTTTTGATAGGACATTCATTTATAGGTAATAACAAGTAAGCATAATTTAGTGACAAAATATAAGTAGATTAACTTAAATTCAGACAAGTTTTTTAAAAGTCCTGCTTGAAAATGCAGGCAAAGCACTAGTCTCCTAGAATAGCAAGTATGCCTAGTTAGTATGACTGAAAGCTACCTTAGATGTCTTGAGATGTTGTGGAACTAAAATATAAATGATAAGGAAATAAATGCTCTGCAAAATGAGCTACAGCTGGATCTGCCATTCCCATCAGGCTTTTTCAGAATACATTGGGGTCCAAAAGACATTTAACATATTGAACAATGGTATGGAAGCCTTAATAAATGGCTACCAATGGGTCTTGTGCGAAGTGCTCCAAACAAAATTTCTAAGATCTCTAATTGCAGCATTAGTGGGGTTGCCAGTGCCCTCCTCCTTGGTCTAGAAAAGGGGATGCCAAAAATCAAAGTTGATGTTAAATTATTGGCTGAAAGTCCAGCTCTTCCCTCTCAAGACTACTTCTACTAATAGTAATCAATGGTTGCCCCTTGAGCTGGAACAATATCATAGAACAAAACCTAATGAGTTATGGGTTATCGTCAGAGCATCTATGAACCTTGGGCTATAACGGTACCAAACACAACTTCTCCAAAGATTTAATGTCATTGAATTTCAGGCAGAAGTAAATACCTTGTCACTGAGAAATAGGACTTGGATGACAAAGAGCTTTTGGGAAACAGTCAATTGTCTCTTTTCACTTGACATTCCCCAAACTAAGAAAAGGCCTCTTTTGGACAAGGCATAATATTTTGCCTTCAGCATTACTATAGGGAGGATACTCTTAAATTTCTGTTTAAGAAACATGCCCTCCAAAATGTGTCATTTTCTTGTGCCTTCTCTAGAGATATGTGTAATGCCTATATCCCACTCTCTTTTACATCAGTGCCCTAGGTGATCTGACATTCCTTATATCTTCATCTTTTTTTTTCAGATTGTCAGATTGTAACTCAGATCAGAGTAAAATACTGAGCAGCAGCCCTAAAAATTTGACATCAATTGGGGTAAGTCTCTCACAGTTGTAACATACTTTTTATATCAACTGTACCAGTAGTTATCAACCTTTTCTTCACCATGACCCCTTCAAATACATTCTATGGGCATGAACTATGGCCATGGACACCACCCAAGACTTAATTCAAGATTTAAATCATAACATTTCTTCAAGCTTTTATGGACCACCTGTGACAATATCGTGGGGCACACCACAGGTTGAGAACACTGAACTATACAATTACCTATATTAGGTAAAAGGTAAAAATTCCCCTTGCATATATGTGCTAGTTGTTCCCAACTCTAGGAGGTGGTACTCATCTCCATTTCTAAGCCAAGGAGCCAACGTTGCCGGAAGACATCTCTGTGGTCATGTGGCTGGCATGACTAAACGTCGAAGGCGCACGGAATGCTGTTACCTTCCCACCAAAGGTGGTTCCTATTTTTCTACTTGCATTTTTACTTTCAAACTGTTAGTTTGGCAGAAGCTGGGACAAGTAACGGGAGCTCACTCTGTTACGTGGTGCTATGGATTCGAACTGCTGAACTGCCCACCTTCTGATCAACAAGCTCAGCTTCTTAGCCAGTGAGCCACCACTCAGACTATATTAATCTACTTTTATTTCATTGTTTTAGTTGTTTTTAGTTATACCTTCTATTTCTGGCCTTTGGCTGTAATGAAATTTTTTTCCCATGAGGTTACATACCTTCTACATTCTATAAAAGTAACAGTCTTGGTCGCACTGTTTTTTGCAAGATGCAATCTATTGCACATTCTTTTTCTGATCAACTTGCCATTTTTCCAAGCAAAGCACTGCAGTGCAGCTATTTCTTTTTATTTTATTTTATAAACGATAGATGTTATTAAGGCTCTTTTGGAGGAACTGGTGCTTTGCTTTATAGCATGTTATATCGTCTCCTATTTATTTATTTTACCAAATGAAAAGTTAGCTCAGAAAATTTCTATCATTTGTCTGTTGACCTATTTGCATATTTAAATATCTGGGTAAAAGGGTTTTCATTTTATATAATAACTTGCCTATTACATAACCTTTGCAGGGGTAGGTTGCAATTTTAAAAAGTCAAAAATAATTTAAAAAAAACATTTAAAACTTGTTCTTAAAAAGTTACTTTGAATGAGGCCAGGATATATTTTTTGTCTATGCTTTCCATTAACCCTTTCTCTTCCTCTGGGCACTCCTCATCCTCATTGACATTAGAGATAGCTATCTTGTAGTAGAAAGACACACACACCTGCCGTAGGAATTTGAGCCAGGCGGCAAGGTTGTGAGATCACACACATACCCTACCCAGAATGATATACTACTTCCTTTCCTGAGAAAAAGGAGAAACTTTGTTTATTTATACCCTGGAGCAGAATGAGTCTAAAGGGACTTGCCCAACCCACTCAGCCAAAAGGAAAATAGAATATTAGCTACTGAAGTTAGGACTATAAGAAGCAAAGTATCTTAGTTTATGGCTGTTGTCAACGTCAAGCAAAGCTGCCTGAAAAGAGATACTACTGATATCCCATGCAACCAATATGATGAATTGTTGGTCATTTCATCCATAAAGCTCCCACATACCCACACTTGATACTAACGTGTGCCCTGTCCGTAACAATCTACACCGAGAAAGCTCTGTACGGGTGGGCTTCTCAGAATTTCATCTTGGCAAATATACAGTAATAGCAATCTACAGGGAATAGACATGAAAACATTTCTCCAAACAATCAAGTTCCAATGCCCCGTTTCTCTCATTTCTGCCTCATGCCAAAATTTCTTGCTAGTGCAAGGTGAACAGCATTTTGTTCTTGGCACAGATCCTACAGTTTTACATCCTTGTGCTGGGGAGCACCACCTATTTAAATTCTACCATTGCCCTGCCAGGAAAGAGAAATCAAGTGGCAATCCTAGACTCACCCACTCTAAGCATGCACAGCCTTGTTGACATCTTAGCAGGCCCCAGGCATTCTCTTACTTTACTTACCACAGTGGGCAAAACATGATCAACGCATCTACCCTCTGTTCCTAGGTGGACTAAGCATACCACAGAAGTTCAACAACAAAAATCCTGAATCAGCAAGGGAAGCTATTAAGAATCTTGGACAGATGAAAAAAAACCCAAACAACAAAACAACCTTCTCAGTTTTCATTCAAGCACCCAAACAAGATTCCTGATTTTCAGCACAACTCAGCAGTAGAGGTTGTTGACAACTCTGCTTCCACTGATGAGAGCTCAGCAGTGAATTGCACTGAGCAACATTTGTCTTCAGAACTTGCATTGCTTCCCAAAGTCTCTATAGAGATCATCTCAAAGTCTCTATGCAAATCATCTCAAAGCCACTACAGATATCAGCCTTAGTCTTTGATCTCCCCTTTCCTAAAGGCCAGCTGGTTGAATAACCCCTTTCCTCAGCTATCTAAACCTAAGACATTGCTCACCCAGACAACCCAACTTTCCACTTCAGAGCAAGAGAATACAATGCCCTACAGCAGCTTCTACTCACGCTGCTTCATCCTGCTCCAAGTTAGGTGCTTTCCCACTTCTTAATTGTCCCTCTACCTTTTGCCTTCCAGGGTCTTTATATCTTACCTGTTTGCTTGAGAGCACACCCCTATTCTGACATCATTCTGGGTTTCCAAGAAAAGCAACTGGAATGGACAAGAAGTAAACATGTGACCAAAGATAAAAGATTTTAACGTTTGGACACTTCTGGGTGAGGCAGGACAAGGTGAAACAGGACATGACAACCTATCAATGGTCTCCAGGAGAGAATGACGAAAATGAAATGTCCAAGGATTGGAAGACAGTGGTCAATTTGGTTTTTTTTTTAAGTGGGTGGGGAGGTTCCGAAGATGAGCTTCAGATCAGATTTCTGGCTTCAGATAGGCAAAGATTTGAAGTTGTTGCTGAGACTTCAGTTCTGAATTAAAACTGAAGAGAAGGTTCAGAAGAGCTATTTAGCAATAGTCTGGAATACACCATGTTGTATAATTCAGACAAAACAGTTTGATACAACCCCCCCCCCCCAACCCCTCTCTAAGTTAACGTATAAATGTAATATTTTTGAACTAATTGTACTGAAATAGATGTAATGTTAGAGATTCTTGGGCTAACTTTGTGCAGGCACCTCTTCCATACTTCTTTCTTTTTTTTTCTTTTTGTACCATTCAGGCAGTGATGATAACTACCTGGACTGGTCCCTACAATTTTCTTGACAATGTTTATCAGAACTGGTTTGCTATTGCCTTCTTTCTAGCATTGAGAGAAGTGACTGGCCCAAGATAGGACTAGAACTCAGAGTCTCTCCGTTTCTAAACTGGTGCCTCAACGGCTACACCTAACTGGCTCCCTGTACATAGTCAGAGGATTTGTGGGGCAGGAGGAAGGAATATCATAAAGCCATGAAAATGATTGTGCCTTTTGATATATACCCAAATGCAATTGCATTTGGAATTTACTCGTACATTTCTAATTGTTCTTTATTAAGTAGAATTAATAGAATAACAGAGTTGGAAGGGACCTTGGAGGTCTTCTAGTCCAACCCCCACTTAGGCAGGAAACCCTATACCACTTCAGAGAAATGGCTATCCAATATCTTCTTAAAAACTTCCAGTGTTGGATCATTCACAATTTCTGGAGGTTGTTCCACTGATTAATTTTTCTAACTGTTGGGAAATTTCGCCTTACTTCTAAGTTGCTTCTCTCCTTGATTAGTTTCCACCCATTGCTTTATTAATACTACAAAATTTTATTTATTTATTTATTTATTTAGTGTATAGCATCTACAGAGGTCATGCAATCACTGATAACACAGGTAGTCCTCAACTTACAAGGGTTCAGTTAATGACCATTCAAAATTACACAGGCACTGAAAAAAGTGTCCATTTTTCACAGTTACGACCTTTGCAGCATCCCCATGATCACGTGATCAAAATTCAGATGCTTGTCAACTGTTTCATACTTATGACCATTACAGTGTCCCGGGGTCATGTAATCACTTTTTGCGACCTTCTGACAATCCAAGTCAATGGGGAAACCAGGTTCACTTACCAACCATGTTACTAATTTAACAACCGCAGTGATTCACTTAACAATGGTGTTAAGTCGTAAAATGAAGCAAAATGTACTAACAAATTTCTCACTTAGCAACATAAATTTTGGGCTCAACTGCGACGTAAGTTGAGGACTACCTGTCTATCAGCGATCACATGACCTCTGTAGATGCTATGTGTTACATAAATAAATAAATAAAATCTGCAAGATTAAAAAAAGGGTTGTAAAAATGGTGGGGGGATGCATTCTTTCTGAGGAGAAGTTGAGGGTGTTTGAGGTTTGAGGTTCTTTGGTTTAAGAAAAAAGATGACTAAAAGGGGTGGATTCTTGACACATTTTTATAAAATTAGTATGAAGGAAATGGACAGACTATTCCTTCCTCTCCATTTCTTGTAAGTATAGGACTCAGAATGACTCAATGAAGTGGATTCAGGACAAAAGGAAGCATTCATTTATTTATCAAACTTCTATTGTGCTGCAATCAAATGACTCTCACAGCTTATGTAGAAAATAAAACAAGTTAAAACATCTACAGGCTGATGAAAATCCCAAAGAGGGGCCATCAAAAATGACACAAACCAGAGATAACAAAAAAATAAGGACAAAAAGTAGCAAAAAGAATAAATGTACAAGCTTAAGAAAAGGTTCTTCTTCAAAGTAGTTCTGTCTTTTCAAAATCCAGCAGGGAGTAGTTATCCATTGGAAAAACCATTCCAAAGAAAAATCTGACTACAGGAGCTTTTTTTCAAAAGGCAACAGGACTTTCTCTAATTTTCCTTGGAAACAAAAGAAGTCCAGTTTGAAAAAGCACCTTTGGGACAACCATGATGTGGATGATGGAGAATCTCCATAGTCATCTAACTATGAATGACTAACTGAGTCCAAGGAGGGTGTAATGGCTTCATAAAGGAATAATTAGTTTACCCTAGCAGTGAGAACCCCTGGCCAAGGAACTCTATGCCAGAGCCCTGGCTTTGCCTCTTGAATTTTAATTCGCTTCATCCAGTGGTGGGTTCCTAACCGGTTTACTACCGGTTCACTGAGAGGGTGTTTTGCATGTGCGCTGCACGCTTCACTTGCTCCGCACGTTGCTGCGCATGCACAGTTGACTGAAAGCTATTCTGCACATGCTCAGAAACATGCCAGCGACTGCAGAAGAGCAGAAGAGACCAGGGAACCGGTTCAGTGCCATGGTGGGACTGGGTCGCTGCCGGTTGTAGTGACCCAGGCCGCCATACCACTACCAGTTCGGCCAAACCAATCCGAACCAGTAGGAACCCACCACTGGCTTCATAAGAAGCAAAGGAAAGTCAGCCTCTCATAGACTTAACTAACTTACAAAGTACACCTCGGAATAGGCTTAACGAGCTGTCTCCTCAAGGGATACACGGTTGTTCTTCCCCTTGTGTTCATAGTCTTCCACATTCTTGTCCCCTAACTTTTTGTGAATAGCATGCTCTCATGACTTTGCCTTTTTTCCTTCCTAGCCCATTACAGAGGCAATTTTAAGTTGCATTTAACTATTCCAGTTTGTTTCACCAAGTGTCAGGGCAGGGATCAGGCACCCAGGCAATTGCTTCTTTTGGATCCAGAGACAATGAACTAGATGAACTAAAGTAAATAAATGGGTTTTAAAGGGACTTTAAAAGGGATAATAAAGGGATTTTATTATTAGCTCAGGCAAATAGATTTTAAAGCATAACATAAAAAGCCTACATCCCGAACAAGATAATACCCAAATCTATTACCAGCTGGCAGGAACAGAGATACCCCAAGGGTGGCCAATTCCCACAGTATTCAGTGATAGGTTCTATCAGTGGTGGGATTCAAAAATGTTTACTACCAGTTCTGTGAGTGTCACTTGGTATGCGTGGCTTGACTTGGTGGGCATGGCAGGGAAAGGATACTGCAAAATCCCCATTCCCTCCCCACTCCTAGGGGAAGAATACTGTAAAATGTCCATTTCCACCCCACCTCACTAACCTGCTTTCCAGCTCCTGTGCAGGGCAATAGAAGAAGACCCAGAAGACTTGGGAGACAGTGAATAGATGGGGGCAGGGCCAGCCAGAGGTGGTATTTTCCGGTTCTCCGAACCACTCAAAATTTCTGAACTGTCAGAACTGGCTGAATACCACCTCTGGTTTCTATGCAGCAACTTTCAACAAATAGCAACAACCCCAAGGGAACATTTGACTGTAGGATGGGACACAAAAGTCTGAGCCTTTCACAATGAGAAAAGCTTTGGACGTTTGTGAAGACTCCCACATACACACACACACATACAAACTTCTCTTTTATTCAATAAACAGGAGTAAAAAAAATAAGCAGGCTAACTCAGAATGTGCTCTAAACTTCTAAACTTTTCTTAATATGGATAAATCAAAACATGTCACTAAACTCCTAGCAATAACAATGGCTATTTGCATTGCCACTACAAAGTTTAAAAGGAAAGCTCCCTTTTGTCTCAGCACAAATCTTGCTGACTGAACAATCTTATTGATGATGCTGTGGATGATGAAGCCAATGGCTAGGATCTGCCACATTCTTGTTTGCTTCAGGTTGCTGAGTATGACTCCTCCAGTCTATGGGTGTTATTTCCCAAGGACATTGTGCCTTTTGCACAGGACCAGTGGTGAGATTCATTTTTTTTTACTACTGGTTCTGTGGGCGTGGCTTGGTGGGCATGGCAAGGGAAGAATACTGCTAAATCCCCATTCCCTCCCCACCCCACCAACCTGCTTTCCAGCTCCATTCTCTGTGCAAGGCAACAAAAGAAGACCCCGCTGATCATCTTGGAGGCTGGGAGGCAGCAATAGGCCGATCACACCAATCATCTGGGAGGCAGCGAATAGATCAATTGAGTGCCCCAGCCTTACAGGCTAGGCCTCCCTGCAGACCCCTGGGAGCAAAAACGGTCTGTGGGGGGCCTGCGCCACACCCTCCTTCACTCTGTTTAGGGCCTCCCTGCAGTCCCCTGGGGCAGGGGTGGGGCCAGCGAGAGGTGGTATTTGCCAGTTCTCCAACTACTCAAAATCTCAGCTACCGGTTCGCCAGAACTGGTCCAAACCAGCTAAATACCACCTCTGCACGGGACAGTCCAATTCTTCCAAACTAGCTCTCTCCCTGTCCTTGCTAAATCACCAGTACCAAAGATCATCTTCCAGAGATCAGTGACTTCTCAGCTGAACACGTGGCTCATCACAAGCGCTAATCCCCAATGCCGGTTGAAATAGCAAGAGAAAGGAAGGCTACTATTAAACACAGATTAGCCACAAAATGTTAAATCCATGTTTTAAAGTAACCCTTCAAAGAGCTGATGTGTTAGGATGGCATAGTGCAGCCTTCTCTGTACCTTTCACCATCGGCCCACAGCCTCTCTATTAACTACCGTATTTTTCGGAGTATTAGATGCACCTTTTTTCCTCAAAAAAGGGGCTGAAAATCTGGGTGCATCTTATACATCGAATACAGCATTTTTTACCTCCCGAAGCCCCACCCCCTTCACCAAAATGGCCCTGCATACCTTTATGGAGGCTTTCAGAGAGCTCCTGGGGGTTGGGGAGGGCAGAAATGAGCAAAAAAAATGGGCCATTTTTTGCCCCCAAGCCTCCATAAGGCTATGCATGCAATTTTTTTGACAAAAAATGGGCCCATTTTCATGAAAAACAGGCCTTTTTTGTTCATTTTTCCCCACCCCCTAGGAGTACTCTACAAGCACCCCCCCCCAAGGCTATTCATGCCTTTTTTTAAAAAAATGGGCCGTTTTTGGGAGGTTTGCAGAGTGCAAAAACTTTTTTTTTCCTTTTGGAAAGCTCTTTAACTGATTGATGAGAATTACATTGATCAAGTGCTGTGCCAGCAGAAATAAAGTCTTAGGTGCTGCAGATTGTCAGCAATTTCCTTCTCCAGCACATGGATTAATACACCTGGAAACATCTCCCTAACTACCTACTCACTCTCTCTCTCCCTACCTACCTATTGTATTTCTCTCTCTTTCTCTCCCTCACTATACCTCTATCTATCTACCTACTTTTTTTTAATTTGCCTCTTCAAAACCTTGGTGCATCTTATATTCCGGTGCATCTTATACTCTGAAAAATACGGTTTTTGATTTTTGGAAGTAGCTCTTAAACCAAGTTGGGAGAGAATTA